TAGCCAGGCTGATGCCACCTAGTGCCTCCGCTCAATTACATTTCTCTCCAGCGACTAGGTCAGGAATCGGAATACACTAGACGGTTTGCAAGAACCACGGAAGTTGTAGACGTCAAACTCATGCGCCTGTCTGGGTCCCGTTTGTGGAACAGCACAACAGTAAACAAAGCGGTCGAGATGGATGTAGACAAACTCAGACATTCTGTGTTGGCAACGATTCCCGAGATCGAGGATTTAAAGCTGGAACAAAGAGAATGTTTGGTGAATTTTATCAAGGGGAAAGACGTTATTGCCCTTCTTCTTATGGGATTTGGTGCATTACATGTCATGACCAAATAGCAGTGATTGGTTAAATTAAAAAGTACCTGCCTGCCGCTGAGCGAACGAATCCTAATGTTGTGACGTCAGACGGTTTCCACGAAGTGAAACCGACTGATGAATCAGGTTAATAGTGACACAGGACAGCGACTCTGTACCAGTAGCTCTCCATCCCCTCCCAGTAGCTCACCAAGAGATTCCTGTATTATATTTATGCTGAATAACTCATTTGGATGAATTGAATAACTATTACCATTGTAAATGTATCATGTTGCTGCCTAAATTTGTGCACTAATAATTGGATAAGGTTTATGTTTTATAGGCATCTAACTGTTCCTCATCTAAAGCTTGTTGCGGCGCTTATATACACAAAATTTCTTGCGACTCCTAACATTAGTAGCTCTCCGGTATTTTCATTTTGTAAAGGCATCTCACCAGAAGAAAAAGGCTGGAGACCCCTGCTGTGGAGCATTCTGGACAAAGCAACAACATCTCCATGGAGACGAGGAGGTAACAGACTCTCCACCACAAAAGTTACACAGTGCGCCTTTAAACCATGTTTGAATGTTACTTCTTCAAAACCATACCCGGAGTTGTGTTTTGTTTCATTCATGTATTGTGATCCAAAGCAAGAAAAATATCTGATGAAAGCTTGTCGGCCATGTGAGTGTGCTATGCATTTTTTCACTTTTATTTTGCTGTTCCTTGCATTTGCACCAGTGTTTTCAGTTTCATTCACTCATGTTTGTGAAATCAAAGATCACCAAAGCTCAAAATGCTCTGTTCCACCTTGTGATGTCATGTAGTGGTAGTTTTCAAGTTAACAGCTACTTTTTTACCTTTCGTTCAGAAGAGATTGGAAATTCCAGGGCTAAAATAATCCAAATGACTTTACTAGGAGTGTAACGATATCCAAGTCTCACGATACGATATCATCACGGTATGAAACTCACGGTACGATATTTATTGCGATATTATGGGAAAGCTCACGATGAGGGATGTAAGAATGTCCAAATCTCTTACGATATTTATTGCGATATTTTGTGGAGGCAAACAAAACTGTCAATCAATATATTTTCCTCTTAAAATGCCTTGACAAGACTTAATCCAAAGACTTAAAAGTGCTTAGAACTGTTATTTCTTCTTGTAGTCTGCACTGAAATGGAGCAAAGGATCATGGTCTATGTAGTTCCCTCTGTCTTTTTTTAGCTATTGCTGCACCGTAACTCTTCATTTAAGCAAAGACACTTGTAATTCGATATATTGTGATGGTCCACGTTATTATTGTGAGAACTTTAACGATACAATATCACGATATTTCAGTTACTGTTACATCCCTAGACTTTAGTGAATGGAATTTGAATGTATGGAGTTTAAAAACACAGTGGAGCACTTCTTGTATATATGACTTCAGAGTGTTTTAGAGAAGAAGTCAGCCTAAATATGCAGAATTTGCGTGTTAAAGGTTGTATGGAGGATTTTTTTTTGTTTCAAACTGTCAGTGAAAGATTAAAATACCATCACAGAGACGCAGCAGCTTTGTAATTATGATGACCAAAAAAAAAGAACAAAAATCTATCAACTGTGGACGTAGTGAGGCCAGATAAACATCAGCCAATAGAAAACGAGGCTCCCTCATTTTCTATTGGCTGTTGGGTTGTCAATCAAACTCCCTAGTATAACTGACTCGTCGGAGCGCGGGGATTAGGCGGTTTACGCAGCGGTTCTTAGAGGCTTTTTCGAACTGTCGCTTCCTCGCATTTCGCACAAAGTTTGTCGCAACGGCGGACGAGAATCCACGACCGGTTCGCCGCAAAGAAAGTCAGTTTTTGAGGTCGCTGAAAGAAGAAGAGAAGGGGAAAAGGAGCAAAGCCAAACTGAGGTGATTCTTGGAGATCTCGTCCAGCGATGGCGCGACCGAAGCAGACGAAGGGTCTAAAAACTGACGCGCTGAATTACTTCGAGACAGGTCACTTCAACAGTAATTCTGAATGCGCACAAGGACTGTCGCCGTATTTCTCTTCCCTTAAAAAAATCCTCTATACAACCTTTAAACGTGTGCAAATGAAACAAAACACAACTCCAGGTCTGTTTGAGATGACGAAACATGATAACATAGATCAGAATATAAAATAATATGGGCCCTTTAAACCACCACACAACCTGACGTGACAACAGTGACAATGATACAAAACGCTGCGTGGGTTTTTATGAGATGCACCGCTGAAGGTCTGTTAGGAGCGTGTGAGGAGTTTGTAATGGAGGATAAAGAGGGAAGCCACAGGTGAGCTCCCTGCAGCACTGAAATGAATGGGTAGAGAGAAGGTGTAATAAAAGCGAAAATGATGCTCTTTTCTACCGTTTTTGTGCAATTCAAAATGACTTACCTTGAGGAATCGTTCAGCCGTTTGCAGCAGCCATACCACACTGGTGTTTCTTATTGTATGACTTGAATGTATGGCTGGATTAATAAAGAATAATATCTCTGATCATGATAAAAATGGAAGACAATAATCGTTAATGAGACATTTTATATAATCATGATTGTCGGCAACAGAAATAATCGTCATTTTATCACCAGAATGTGCTGAAAAAAGCTACTTATCAATGATGTTTTCTTCTGGATCATTCTTGTTTTCACTCATAACAAAGTACAACTCTATAATATCTGTTTAAGTATGGAAATTATTCATTATATTTAAATAAAATAGTGTACATGAATAATTCTAAACTTTCAGTAACTTAAATTTTTATTGTAATATAATCATTACTTGCAATTATTTTGGTCATAATAATCATGACACCAAAATTCATTATTGTAATATTCAATTCAGTTCAGTTCAATTCAATTCAAATGTATTTATATAGCACGTTTAAAACATCTTCAGCTGACCAAAGAGCTTCACAAAAGCTTAAAGCATAAAAGTCAACAAAAACAGAAGAAACAGTTGCATATACATATATACAGATAACTTATTACAATAAAAACACCAAGATAACCTGATGAGCTAGTACTAAACGCCAGGAAGAAGAGGAGAGTTTTCAGTCTAGTCTTAAACTGCTTTACAGACTGAGGGGATCTGACAGGAAGAGGAAAGTTGTTCCAGTCCAGGCACTGCCACAGAAACGGCTCTGTCACCTCTCCTCTTGAGACCAACAGGATGTGGTTAGCTGATCTCGAATATTATCCTGTGCCTACTTGAATGTAAGGCTATTTATATATAGAAATAGCTTAGTTTTTGATTGAAGGAGTATTATTAGCTTGAGCTCATATTCCTTTGTCATTTTTAGGATTTCCAGTGTTTCCTCTGTAGGAGCCCTCTGCACCAGGAGCTGTGGTCAACTGCGGCTGCCAGGTCTGTCCTGTGGGCTCCTGGTGGAGGGTTGGTGTTGGGCTTCACCAACCCTCACTCAGTGTGTGTGCAGGCGTGTGCATGTGGGTGAGTGTGTGTGCAGGCGTGTGCATGTGGGTGAGACTGTGCATGTGAATGTCTGGATTTTTTAGTAGTATGCGGTCAGGCAGCTGTGTGGTAGCCTGATTCATCAGCCAGTTTCAGAAACCATCTGACCTTGCAGCATTAGGATTCATTCGCTCGACTGTAGGCGGGTACTTTTTATATTTAACCAATCACTGCTATTTGTTTTTGACGTATGTAATGCGCTGCTAACGGGGCTAACTGGTATATTAAGCTTATCCCAAATCCCGTAGGAAGAAGGGCAATAACGTCTTTCCCCTTGATAAAATTCAACAAACATTCTCTTTGTACCGGCTTCAAATTCTCAATCTCATGAATTGTTGCCAACACTGAATGTATGGCTCTTTGCTGATTGGCTGGTGCCTGAACTCGCACTTCCGGGGTTTTCGCAAACTATCTAGTGTTTTCCGATTCCTGACCTAGTTGCTGGAGAGAAATGAAATTGAGCGGAGGCACTAGGTGGCGCCAGCCTGGCTGTGGGGGCTGAGTGGGTGGAAGGAAATGTGGGATTGCTTTTAATCACTGTACAGCAATTTGTGTTAGATTGTTTGCATGAAAAGCACTGTATAAATAAAGTTTGACTGACTGATAATATGAAAAACAGCTACAAGTTGAGGGTTTGTGTTTTAGCATTTTAGAATTTCAATCTAAAGTTTAAAATCCAGCTGGAAGACTACATTCTTTTTATGATGCTAAACTGGTCAACAAGATGAATTCTGGTATTTGTTGAGTTTAAAAAAAATCATGAGAATCCATCTGGCCTTGTATTTGAACTCCTCCACTTGAAGCTGATGGCACCCTCCCACCCAACCTGAAGAGGGCACCACCTTTTTCCAATCGAGAACTGCGTCTTCGAATTTGGAGAATCTGATTTTCATCCAACCTCTTCACACTCCGCCAGAACTACCCCAGTGCACGTTGCAGGTGCTGGTTCGATCAGGACAACATCATCTAAGAAGAGCAGAAATGAGATCCTGTGGTTTCCATAACTCGACCCCTGACTTCTCGTAAAAAACCAATGAATCGGTGTCAAAGGGCAGCCCTGTCGAGTCCAACATTCACTAGAAACAGGTCTGACTTACAAGAAAAACAATAAAATGCATGTGTAAAATATCATTTATTCTGATGAAGTTTATATTTTTATTCCAGTGTATAGATTGTGGTGAACTCATTTGAACTAACTTTTGAAAAAAACACAAAACTGTCCTAGTCCTGGTGCGTCTCCTGGGCCTGTATGAGGGTCTGGGCCACAGCCTTGATGAGCAGGAGGAGCGCAATCACCGCTGTCATCCCCGTGTACCAGGTGATCACCATCCAGAGCGCGGGGTAGAAGTGAGGATGGGACAGCACTGACTGGCCCTGTCCCAGATGAGAGTGCACCAACACGCGGATCTGAGCTGTCCGTCGCCCCTGGAGCCAGCAGTAGTACACGCCTGCAGCGAGAGGAGTCAGCAATATCACAATGTGTCAATCAGATAGAAGCAGTTACATTTTATTTTTCCCATAGTATATAAAAAAAAAATAATAATAATAATAAAATTGAAATTAAAAAAATAATAGTGTAGTGTAAGTGTATGTAAATTCTGTTTCTGAGACCTTTTAATCTGCTAAGTTATTAAAACATTTCACCAACTCTTGTGTTTAAAATGTACTTAAAGGTCTAAGTTTTTGGTTGAGTGTCCGTCACCTGCTTGTTTCTATGGATACGTCACTGCTCTGCCTGGAATGTTCCGCAGTATGGCATTAAACAGCCCTACCTGAACATTTATTAGATTACACATGGTTTTGTGGCTTAAAAATACCTAGAAAAACAGGCATTTTGACTGTGAGCGGGGTTGCCCCTCCCCAGATCTGACCTGGAACTTTGTCTAGTTTGGTCTCCATGACGATAGAAAGGTTTAATACCGTGAAATACTGTGAAACATTCCAAAGAGAGCAACAACATCTCCATGAAGAAATACATTTGACGAACCCGTTGTTCCCAAGTTACACAATACACCTTTAAAAGAACTGTTTTTGAAAAGTCTATCAGAAAAATGAATGAAAAATTAACTTCCTGAACCGGAGTGGACAACATTTTCTTTTAGGCTCAAATAAAAGTAATTGTGATTCTGAAGATTTACAGTAAAATCTCGAGTATACTTATGTTAACTGTGGTTTAGTGAAATGAGTCTATCCTCCTTCATGCACTTACATAAATGCAAATATCTCTGAGGTCTGAAGGACATCACCTCACCTGAGTCGTGAGCCTGTACCGGGTTGAAGACCAGATGGTGTCCTGTGTCTATGCTGATGCGGGGGGTCTCTCCTCCAGGGGCCGCTGTGTGTTCCCGCCTCAGGATAGGAGAGTCCTCTCTGTCCCAAGCCACAGCCAGGTGGGGTTTGGCTCCAGGGCACCCAATGGTCAGGATGGTATCTGCCCGATGAGTCAGGTAATACACTTTGACCCCTACAGGCCGGTCGGTAGAACTGCAAAGAGATATGTATTGTTAGTAATTTCCCAAGTAATTGTCCAGTTAAAGCGTCGGTCTGGAATTTTGGACATAGGACATCATTTCCTAGTGAGTCAGAATGTTGGAGACGTGTTGAGATACTTTTTTAAATATTCCATCCAGTCATCAGAGTAATAAAGTCAGACAGAAAATGGTGTATTGTCTGTATAAAGCTCTTTTGCTCATGCGTAAAATGTCTTGAATAGGATCAAAACAAAAAGCACTGGTATTTTATAGAGCCACCTTTTTGCAGAGATCTTGCCACTATTACTATTACTTACTCAAACTTTATTAATCCACAAAGGGAATTAAAGGGACAGTCCAGAATTTTGGACATAGGACCTCATGTCCTAGTGAGCCAGAGTGTTGCAGATGTGTGGAGACACTTTTTAAAATATTCCATCCAGTCCTTGTATTTGCAGAAGGTCGCTGGTGCTAGGCTAGTGCATGTCAATGGCCATAGTTATCCTGCCACTAAAAACAGTCTTACCCACTGCACAAAACACAGGAAGTAAATCTATTATTACACCAGATTGTCGATGTAAATGTCTGCGTTGATGGAATAATTACCTCCGCCAAGGAGGTTATGTTTTTGCCGGCGTTTGTCTGTTTGTTTGTCTGTTTGTTTGTTTGTTTGTCTGTTAGCAACATAACTCAAAAAGTTATGGACCAATTTTGATGACATTTTCAGGATTTGTTGGAAATGTGAAAAGGAAGAACTGATTTCATTTTGGGGGTGATCCGGAAGAAATCCTGGATTCTGGATCACTTTGAAATTTTAGTTAACATTGTGGTAAATGGGGCCAAACATTTGGTTTCTCAATATCTCGGTTAATTATTGAACCAAACCCCATGAAATTTGACTCAGGGATGGACAATGGGATCCTCTTTCATATTCCAAAGGCTGATCCGGATCTGATCCAGAAGACTGATTTTATCGCAATTTATGTAAAAAATGGGGGTAGTCCTTGGCGGAGGTCTGCGCTCTCTGAGTGCTTTTCTAGTTTTAGAAGTAAAACCAACCTTGCATTTGAAGGATTTATGTCTGAGCAGCAGCAGCGAGTTGTACTTCCTGATAGAAAGCTTGGCAGCGGCGGACCTAGCACCTATCTTACCGGCAAAGTAAAATTTCGCTGCTGCTGAGAAAATAGTCCCTCAGCATACGACGATTCATATGATGCATCAGCGACCTCTGCAAATAAAAGGACTGGATGGAATATTTAAAAAAGTGTCTCCACACGTCTCCAACACTCCTATGTCCAAAATTCTGGACTGTCCCTTTAATTCCCCTTGTGGATTAGTAAAGTTTGTGTAAATCTTAGAGTTGTAACGATATCCAAGTCTCACGATACAATATCGTCACCGTATGAGCCTCACAGTATGATATTTATTGCAATATTGTGGAAAAGCTCACGATATGGTGGCGAGGCTCACGATTATGAATGTAACAATATCCAAATCTCTCGGTACGATATTTTCACGATATTTATTGCGATATTTTGTGGAGGTTAACAAATTTTTTTTACCGGTTGCTGCACCGTAACTCTTCATTTAAACAAAGAGACTAGTAATTCGATATATTGTGATGTCCACGATATTATTGTGAGAACTCTGACGATACGATATCACGATAATTCTGTTATTGGTACATCCCAAGTTAGTCTAAGTCTGCATTAAACCATAATAGTGACAAGACGTGAACATCTCTGCAAAAAGGTGATGAAGCGATGAAAGCGATGGGTGACACCAGTGCTTTTTGTTTTGATCCTATTCGAGACATTTTACGCACCAGCAAAATTATACAGAAAATACAGGGTTTTCTGTCTGACTTTATTACTTTGGATTGGTACTTTGTCACAGCTGGAGAACGGTCGCTGCTGCTGCACAGTTGTCCTGGGGCAGACTGATGATGGACTGACATTATTTGAATTAATGATGCCCTACACTTGTAATGCGCTCGAAGCCTCTAAAAGCACCACACTGTCATCTTCAGCCACTCCTGAAGCCACAGTCGTCCTGGGGCAGACTGAAGGAACGGTGCTGCCCCCAAACACCCATCAATCCTCACGCACGCACCACATTTATACAAGGCAAGGTGTGTGAAGTGTCTTGCCTAAGGACACGACGATCTGACCTGCAGGTTGGGGGACAAACGCTCCAACCACGGAAACACTGTTAATCTATGTATCATTTGTTCAAAATAAAACAAAACAAAAAATCTTAATTATTTGTCTCCAAAACCAACATGAAAAAACGGATAACGATTAATTTTTTTCTGTTTTCGATTTTGTGTTTAAATGAATAATGGAAAAAAAAACAAAAAAAAAAAACGGATAACAGCTGTTTCCTGTTTCCATGACTTAAACTGTGATGAAAGATTTTTGAGCCGCGTATGGACTGAACCAGGACTAAACCGGGACTGAGTGTCAGGGCAGGCCCGGAGGTGTGCCCTTGTAGACTGTCAGGTGATCAGGGCTGAAACCAGGACTGAGACCAGGACTGAGACTAGGACTGAGACTAGGACTGCAACCAGTTTAGTCGTGATTTATTCCTGGTTTATTCGTGGGTCATTTCTGGTTTAGACCTGGTTTAGTCCTGGGACCAGTCCTAGTTCAGTCCCTGTCTGGTCCCGGTCTCAGTCCTAGTCTCAGTTCTGGTCTGGTCCCAGTCTGGTCCCAGTCTCAGTCCTGGTCTCAGTCCTAGTCTGGTCCCAGTCTGGTCTCGGTCTTAGTCCCGGTCTCAGATCTGGTCCTGGTCTGGTCCTGGTCTGGTCTCAGTCCCGGTCTCAGTCCTGGTCTGGTCTCGGTCTGGTCCTGGTCTCAGTCCTGATTCAGTCTGGCATTGCAGTTTAAGTGACGAAAATGGGAAAACGGCCGTTGTCTGTTTTGTTTTTTGTTTTTTTCCATTATTCATTTTAAACACAAAATAGAATACTGAAAACATGAATCACTGTCTGTTTTTCATTTTGGTTTTGGAGACAAATAATGAAGAAAATTGTTTTTTGTTTTTCTTATTTTTGGTTTTATTTTGTAAAACAAATAAACTAATAACGTAGATAACAAACTAATAACACAGATTCCCTGTTGCCCCATTGAAATCACGAGTGTGTGAACTTTTATACTTACCCGTATCCAAGGAAAGCCATGAGCGACGTCACTTTGGATGGCGGAGGAGGTTGTGGTGGACAGACCTCCTCACACGCCCTGACCTCCAGCACCGCCCCCTCGTTGCTGATTGGTCCGAACACCCTTAGCACCGCCCCCGAGCCACAGGATGCCACAGTCTGATTGGCCAGTCTGTAGCGCACGTGCAGGTAGGGGGAGTGCACGTAGCAGAGCCCCACTCGGACCTGTGACGGGGAAAAACGAGACACTGTCAACACCAGAGCCAAATACATAATGTACTTTAAACATCTAAAAGAGCCTGTGTCCTTGTATTTGAGCAAAAGTTATCTTGAGTCCAGCACAGATATCCTGCATAAACAGCTCTTGAGGTCAAAACACGCCTGCTGTGTACTGCATTTCACTGTCCAAGAACCATTAAGTGCACCTTCACATGCTAGTTGTTTTTAGCAAATTCTGCTCTGGCCTCTGAAAGTTTTGAAATGCTGAGAAACTCTTACAAACTCTTATAAAAATTAGGATGTCAATGTGGGAAAGTGTCAAAATCAAAGTGGGACCTGTGGGACAAACTCAGCCCTCCATACTAGACTATTTTGATCCCCCTAAAATACACTATTCTTAAAGATAATTTATTGATAAACATAAGGTTTTATGTGAAAAATATTTAAAGGTTTGGCTCTTTGACTGCTGATCTGTACCATATTTATTGGACTATAAGTCGCACTTTTTTCATGGTTTGGGTGTTTCCTGTGACTTTTACTCTGGTGCGACTTACATATTAAAATTTTCACACTGACAGCCACAAGAGGCTCTAGGCTTGTATGTCAGTATCTGCTACCACTGTACCGCTGTCACTTCACCCTCTACTGCTGAAAACAGTAACTGAGCAGCAGAAAGAAAGTTTGGAGTGAGGGACTGGTGGGAAGAGGGGATGGAGAACAACCGGGAGGATGCACCATGCAACTTTCCTGGAAGTCATTGGATGGATCGACAACCCTGGACGTCAGTCACATCCAAAACCATCCTGTCAGGATTCAGAAAGGTCAGAATAATTCTAACTGGAACTGACGCTGAGTCTGACGACAGCTACACAGAAGAGGAAGTGGTGCTCCGTCACAGAGTTGCTCAGAAGTGACGAGGATGAAGAATTCAATGGATTTAGTGATGTGGAGTGAGAGGGAGAGTTTGATAAACTTGTTCTATTCTGTTGTTATAGTTTATCTGAAGAACTGTTCATATGTGACGTTAACAGTCTGTTGTTCTCTGTTCTATTGTTTTTACTATAACTTGCCTTTCAAGATGAAATGTTGGTTCCTGGTCTCTGATTTTACAAAATACATTTTCCCCAAGAAGTGTGACTTATAGTCCAGAGCAACTTATATTTGTTCTTCTTCATTATGTACTTTTTGGCTGGTCTGACTTATACTCCGGAATGACTTGTAGTCCAGAAAATACAGTATTCATTTTGGCCTATAGAGGAATAAAGTTTGGGCATTGCTCTAAATGAGGTAAGTGATGTATAACCCTGAACCACTGCAAAACATTATTTTCACACTGTGAAGTTTTGGGTCAGTTTGTTCTCATAGAGCTGGGTTAAATGAGTTTACTCTTTTAAAATTCAATTTTGTGTTTTTCCCAAAGAGAATATTATAAAAGCAGCACAACATCTGACTCACTATAATAAAGTATAAGAACCCAAAATAAAGAGCTCTGAATGATCTGAACGGTCTGGCTCACCCCTGATTCAACTCTCTGTCTGAAAGAAGCGGATTTAAAAGACACACTTTTTCCTTTTACTGTTTTAGAAATTGGTAATATAGATTTAACACATTAACTTTTTTTTCTTGTATCATATAAGATTTAAATACCCTTCATAACTTTCTTTATCCATTTAAAGGTCCTGCATAATTTACTCATGATGGATTTTTGCATTATTAATCTCTCATACATCTTCAAAGCTCAAATTGCTCTGTTCCACCTTGTGATGTCGTGCACTGGTGGTTTTCAAGTTAGTAGCTCCTTTTATCTTCAGTTCAGTCGAGACGTCTAAATGGTAAACGGTCACATTTTTATACAGTGCTTTTCCACCTTGGAGGCACTGAAAGTGCTTTATGACAAGGAACCACTCACCCATTCATACACCAGTGTACTCAGACACTAGGGGCGAGGTGAGTTAAGTGTCTTGCCCAAGGACACAATGACAGCATTCATCTGTGGGAGCTGGAATCACAACCTGTGGGTCGGTGATCTGAACGCTCAGTCAGTGATGTTCATGTTTAGAGCGGGATTCAAACCACCAATCTTCTGTGGACACACACTCTACTGTCACCCTGAATGATTCTATTGAAGGTGTATGGAGTTTAAAAACACAGTGGAACACTTCTGTATTACCACATGACATCACAAGATGGAACAAAGGCTACGTTCAGACTGCAGCCTGAAGTGACCCAAATCAGATTTTTTGGCCCCGATATGACCTGTATCTGATCTTTTAATGACAGTCTGAACGACACAGATCCGATTTTTTCAAATAAGATCCAGGTCACTTGGATATGTGGTCCTAAAACCGATACATATCTGATCTTTTGACATGCGACTTCAGTCTGAACGACCAAGGCACATTGATCCGACCTACACTTTATCAACAAGCGACAAATGTAAACAAACGTTCTTCTCGTCATACGAAAATTGTTAATGAAATCCGTGTCACTGAAGTGAAGCACGTCACTATCCCACCAGTCTCGGCTACGTCTCCGCATCCACACGTTCCTTTCAACAAACTGCCCCACAAAACATCACGGCCAAAAACCTCGTCCCTCTCCTTCTCAGTCTCCTCCTTAAAACAAGTAAGTTGTACATGTTCTGGCTCCGGTACGAGAGGATCGTTAAAATCTCCAGGTGCTCAATGCTCGCGTCCATGTTTGGACAACTTCCGTAAACACAGAGACGCTCACTGCGGTTGACTTTGTCGTGTCCTTCAGTGCACATGCGGGACACTTTTGGGCCGTTTACTGTTCACACTGGAGATCACATACAGGTCACATTTAATAGGAAATGTGAACGATCTCGCAAAAACATCGGATTTCACAAAAAAAATCAGAATTGAGCATTAAGCTCTGCAGTCTGAATGTAGCCGAAGTGTTGCCTAATGATCTCTTATGCAGGGTTTGTATATTAAACATGGGTGAATGAATCAAAACACAACTCCAGGTCTGTTTTTTGTGAGGAAACAACATTATAACATGGCTATAAGCTCAGAAGAATTCATTTTGCATGATGTAGAACCTTTTAAATTGGACTAGGCTCATTATCTGGTTTTCCTGGCATTAGAAAATTAAACACTACCGGTCAAAAGTTTTAGAACACCACACTTTTTCTAGTTTTTTACTGTTCACTGTTGACCAAAACGTATTCTAAACTTTTGATTCATGAAAGTGTCCACCTTTGGCAGATATAACAGCTGAACACACTCGTTCTTGTTCTTTTTACAATAGAAATCAAATATTCTTCAGAAAGTTCTTCCCAAGTCTGTTGCAGAAGTTCCTATAAATGTGTGGCACTTGTAGGTTTCTTGACTTTCACTGTTCTGTCCAGTTCATCCCAAAAAGCCAGCTCAGTGGGGTTTAAGTCTTGACACTGTGCTGGACACTCCATGTTTTCAAGCTAAACCATCTTGTTCTTTTTTCTTGAGGTAGTTTTGGCAGAGCTTGGATTTGTGTTTTGTATCTTTTATCTTTATTTTAACCTCTGCCTGTTCAGTATTTACCTTTTTACCATTTTCAAGCTCGTTCATTGGACTTGCACGACTTGAATTGCAATAAATAACTGGAAAAATGAGCTTGTTCTAAAAGTTTTGACTGTTAGTGTATATTAATGAGATTTGACTCTGACCTGCTCTCCGGGTCGTCCACAGCGGTCACACACAGACCACGGCTGGAAACTGGTGAAGGTTTGATACAGATGGGCAGAGCTGGACTGACGCCTCCTTCGTCTGGAGCTGCTGGACAAAAATAAATGGATAATTAGGATGCTCAGAAGGCATAAATGTAAGTGAGGAATAACTTTGAACCACCGCAAACTCTTTCGAAACAAACTACTTTTGTTTTTCACATTTTAAGACAGTAAAACTCAGGGCCTCTAAATAGCTGTCTGAAGAGAGAAGTTATTGGAATGTGTAAAACTACAAATATGGCGTCAGTATCATGGATTGGGGTTAGTCAGTATGATATAATTAAATTCTTCCTCATATTGATCAATCACGCTTCTAATTCAAATTTTATGCATTAAAAACTAATAAAAAATCCTTCCAATATTAGTTTCTTGAAAATACACAATACAGACTTTTAATCACTGCAATTTAACACAAAGACTATGCACATTTCTTCCTCCAAAGTCATTCGTCTGCTCCAAATCAAAAAAAAATATATATATATACATGATTATATATGATTCATCAGCCGGTTTCACTTCGTGGAAACCTCGCAGCATTAGGATTCGTTCGGTCGACGGTAGGCGGGTTCTTTTTTAAATTTAACCAATTGCTGTTATTTTGTCGTGACGTATGTAATGCGCCGCTAATGAGGCTAATTGGTATATTAAGCTTTTCCCAAATCCAGTAGGAAGAAGGACAATAACGTCTTTCACCTTGATAAAATTTACCAAACATTCTCTTTGTTCTGGCTTTAAATCCTCGATCTTGGGAATTGTTTCCAACACAGAATGTGTAACTCTTCACTGACTGACTGGTGCCTGCACTCACACTTCCGGGATTCTTGCAACCCGTCTAGTGTATTCCGATTCCTGACCTAGTCGCTGGAGAGAAATTAAATTGACCGGAGCCTGGCTAATCCATCTGCTCCAAATGAAAAAATATATATATACTGAAGAAGAGAAGAATTGAATGTGGACCTCTCCATGAAAGACGACATTTTGTGTTTGTGTCTGATATATAGTTATAATCTATGACACCCGTGTATCATTATCTTATAATTTGCACATTTTAAATCAAAATATTCACCTAAAATGACTGAATATAAAGTCCTAATAAAAGAAACAAGCTGACTTCTGCTTGAAAAAATGGTGGTGGGAGCAGACTTCGCCGTAAACATAATCACAACAAAGAATCAGCACCTCCAATGGACAGCTGCAGATCACACTATCACGTAGCTGATTACATTTTTTAAAACGTGTACCAAAATTGTTACGCGATAGTGACAAATCCTCAGTGTGTCACCGATTCAGAAAATAAAATTGGTGCACAAAGTAAGCACAGAGAAGTGGGCGTATATCGGTGTTGGTGAAAACTGGAGTTGATCGAAAATAAGCGATTCCTCAAAGATTCCTCAAAGATACACGAATCACTGCAAATACAACTTCGAGTCAGTAAATAGTGAGAGGAAACAACTCTCAAAAGTCGATTTGCATAATAGGTCTGATTTAAAAAGACCGAAGCTGCTAGAAAGACATGTATCTGGATGAAAACTGTATCCAGTTCACGGACTTATTCTGGATTATTACAAGTCTACAGTTCGTAATCGATGTGTTTACCTCTTCATTGACCAAACGTGTTCAAGTGAGTAATAGAGTCATTTTATTTCCACTGAAATTCCGCCATGTTTCCTGGGAGCCAACAAGACAGATGATGCCTGTTTGCTTATCTCCACACAAATACATGAAAATATGAATGTACTTTATGGAAATGATCAGCCATAATTGGGCGTTCCTGTCACTGAACATCTTTTCCCTGTGTCGGAAAATCAATCGAGCATCTTTGAATAGGAAGTCTGCGGGGACATATAGACTATTGAGTTTTGCGGTCCTGGTTAGAGTCTGTAATGCAGTAAATTACCCGTTAGAAGCATTTGGTCATTGTTCGATTAAACTGTACCCAAAGGCTCACCCTCTTTCTTATGCCACATTTTTCGGACTATAAAGTGCACCGGATTATAAGGCGCAATATAATAACGTTGAATTCTCTTATCTATTTTATAAGGTGCATTAAGTGAAACAAATGGACGCCACTTGAGACTGATCCTTATCCCAGGTGTCCACGATCCATTCGCATATCGTGGCGTAATTCGCCCAGCGTTGCCTCATGTCATAGTGAATGTGGATTATGAATGTGAATGTGGGTGGATAATTTAAGTTTGTTTTTTTATTTTCTACAAAGAGGACTCAAATTTACATTGACTAATAATATGTTTAATGCAGCTTTGTTTACGTTTTACAGAAACAAAACTTAAAACCACATGACTAATTTGCATAAACTATAAGCGCTGACAAAAACAGCTCACTCCTTGTACTGCTGATGCGGTCAGTTTCTGTTGGACTCCGCAAGTCTCCTGACTACTGTAGCTGTAATGCTCCAACAATCCATCAAGCGGTGCGGCTTCGTATCTTACCAAAGTCGTACTAAAACATTTTAACAGATTTTTCAGTACCGAGTACCACATAAAATTGATTCGAGGTCACAACCAGAATTAATACATAAGACGCACCAGATAATAAGGAGCACTTGTCGATTTTTGAGAAAATGAGAGGATTTTAAGTGTGCCTTATAGTCCAAAAAATACAGTAATCCTCTCAATTTCTTGCGGATAAAATGAGTAGCTCAGTTGCATTTTTGTTTTGTAAAGGGAACTCACTGGAAGAAAAAGGCTGGTGATCCCTGATGTATAGCTTTTCTGTGTACATCTGGTCATAAACAGCTTTGGAAAAATACTTTGACAACGTAGTTACGGTACTCAAAATTTGTATTCAAAATATGTATTCTCTATTTGGGTTGTAACGATATCCAAGTCTCACGATACGATATCGTCACGGTATGAGTCTCATGGTAAGATATTTATTACGATATGGTGGGGAGGCTCACGATTAGGGATGTAACAATATCCAAATCTCTCGGTACAATATTTTCACGATATACATCTCATGGTACGATATTTATTGCGATATTTTGTGAAAACTGTTAATATGCTACTTTTTCCTCTTAAAATGCCTTGACATACAATCCAAAGACTTAAAAGTGCTTAGAACTGTTATTTTTTCTTGTAGTCTACACTGACATGGAGCAAAGGATCATGGTCTATGTAGTTCCCGCTGTCTTTTTGTTAGCTATTACTGCACCATAACTTTTAATTTAAACAAAGAGACGTGTAATTCGATATATTGTGGTCGTCCATGATATTATTGTGAGAACTTTGACGATACAATATCACGATATTTCGGTTATTGTTACGTCTCTATTCTCTATACATGTAAACAGTTACTTCCCAACACAATGGTCATAGAATATTTGTATTATTTGATCTGATTGTAAGGTTCTTTATACTATATTGTTTTATTATATGGGCATGAGTCTAATGTATGTAGATTGCCATGAGTTATAAAATGACCAAATAAATGAATGTCAAACAACTTTGCTTCAGGTTCCGCCAACTTTGTAATTTTCCCGGCTAATAAAATACACATTGAACTGATTGCATTAAGATTCAATTATTCATTCATACAATTGTTGCTTTGTTAATTGTTCCAGTCTCTTCTGAGCTGGTCTGATTGGCGATGCACAATGTAACCCCGGCTCTAGCACCAGCAGCTTTAATTTATTTTAGAACATTGATTGCATTAATATCATTAATATGTTCCAATCACTTTAATAATTTAATGTCATTCAAAACAACAACAGAAGTTTTGGCAGGGTACTTTTGAATCCTGGCTACCTTGCTACTTCTGGACTCTGGGAACAGTTGCGTAGCCATTTGGCTCTAATGTAAATCCCTGTGGAGGTTTTTGCAGAGAAAATTGATAAATACAGACAGATTAGTCAGTGGACAGCAGTGATGCTCGGGTCAAACTGTAGGATAACTCAGTGAGGAGAAGTACAGCAGGCGTGGGTCGGGTCCAAACACTTCGTTGCTGTATATATCCTGTGAGTGCGTATGCAATTTCAGACGGGTTCTAAATAGTGTATTTCATTGTGAAAAACAAGTTACTTCAAAACTGTAAAGCATTATTTATGACTTGTTACTGTCATTTCAAAGTAATTTGTTACATTACTGTATATAAAATGTAAAACATTACACGACTATTGCAGAACTTTAAGTTACTCTCAACAAAATAACTGAGCGAAGATGCCGAACTTTTGCGCCGTATATGGACTGAACCAGGACTAAACCAGGTCTGAACCACAGCTGAACCAGGACTAAACCAGGGCTAAACCAAGTCTAAACCAGCCCTAAACCAGGACCAAACCAGAACTAAATCAGGTCTAAACCAGGTTTTAACCAGGACTAAACCAGGTCTAAATCATGACCAATCAGGATCAGGCATTGGCTGCGATTAGCCCCATGGAGCGTGGAGTTCTGCACCGGTCCTTTTGCCTGCAGTCACTCGACGGTGTACACGGGCGAACCCTCGGGCCCGTCCCAACATTCAGAACCGTAACGATGGCGTTTCATCGCTGCTGATATTGTGGTGATTTTAGCAAATTTGCAGTGACTCACAACTCATTAGTTTTAAAGTGCAAAGGACAGCAACATTGAGCCTGCGGGGGTTGGGTTGTATTGTAACTCAGGTCCCACAGCTCTCTGTCACCGCTGGACAGAGAGCTGTGGGTAGATGTCACATGTTTAACACTTTACAAATGAGCTGAATAATTCACCGGAGAACACTTTTGTTCTTTCAAAAGGCAGGTCTGTGTGCAGTTTTGGAGCCTAATAAAAATTAAATATATAAAGCTCACAAGAATCAATTTTGGCTACATTCAGACTGCAGCCTGAAGTGACCCAAATCCGATTTTTTCACCCCTATGCAACCTGTATCTTATCTTTTAGTGACAGTCTGAACGACACAGATTTCAAATGTGACCCAGGCCACTTGGATATGTGCTCCTAAAACTGATCTCCGATATCTGATCTTTTGACATGCGACTTCAGTCTGAATGGTCAGGTCACATTCATCCCACCTACACGTCAGGCTCAGAGTCTAGTCAGTGGAGGGAAAGCGAGGTTTGAGGGGATCGCTGTATTCAGGGCAAACTGGAGGGGTCTAATCAGAACCGGGTGGTTTTTGAAATGATTGCCAAAGAAATGTCCGAGCGTGGCTACAGGCGGTCCTGGCTCCAATATCAACGAAAAATAAAGATTCTGCGAGCCAAATACAACTAGGCTAAAGACTCAAACAAACAAAGCGACCGTAGATGTGTAACCTGTCCATTTTACGAAGAACTGGACCGGATTTTGGGAGACAAACCCAGCGTTTAGGCGACTTCCGTAAACACTGAGCTGCATGTGACGTCGTTGTGTCCTCCAATGCACGTGCGGGACACTTTTGGAGCATTTAAAGTTCACACTGGAAATCACATACAAGTCACATTTAATTGGAAATGTGAACGATCTCGCAAAAAAATCCAAATTGAGCATTAAGCTCTGCAGTCTGAACGTAGCCTTTGAGAAATATAGTTCCTTTAAAAGCTAAACATTGGTATCGGCAAATCAATTATCAGTGACATTTTGGATGTGGATTTCGGCTCAAAAAATCCATATCCCTAATCATAATCGCTATGGAAACAATCCTAATTCCGCGGCATTCTGAAACCCGCGCATAGAAGCTGTTTGTGTGTTTACTGGGCTATTCATTTATAATTCATGTCTTGTTTTTTATGAGAGCGAGGTTGCACAGACATTGTTTATTTGGGTTGTGTTCTTGTGAAGTATTGTGCAAACAGTGAATAATTGGATGGATTTAAAAGGGCGGTGATGACATAATTTTGCAGTTCATTGTCATTCCGAAGCCCAGGTCTGGAGTAATGTACGTCTCCGCTGTGAAGGTCACTGTATGGTAATGGCCCGCTCCACACAGCAGCTCCTCACTCAACATTTGGGAACATAATGTCAACTCCTGAGGTTTTATATTCTCAATACCAAAAGTTTTATTTAATATGAACTTATTTGTTTGGATAAAATGGATTATGTGGATTATTAAAGGTACTGGAATATGCAAAATTGAGTGTTTAGTCATGTTTTAATGTTGTTACCTCAAGCAAAAACAAACCTGTTTTGTTTCATTCACATGTTTAAGTAAATCTTTTTTATTATTAGTCTGTCTACATCTCCACAGCTCAGAATGCTCTGACTGGGACTGAGACCAGGACCAGACCGTGACTGAGACCGGGACCAGACCGACACAAGAGCAGGACTGAGACCAGGACTGAGACCGGGACCAGACTGAGATAAGATCAGGACTGAGACCAGGGCTAGACCAGGACTAAACCGGGACTAAACCAAGACCAGACCGGGACTCAAACTGGGACTCAGACCGTGACTGAGACTGGGACAAGATCAGGACTGAGACCGGGACCAGACCAGGACAAGATCAGGACAGAGACAAGGCCTAGACCAAGGCCAGAGCAGGACTGAAAATGGGACAAGATCGGGACTGAGACCAGGACTAGAGCGGGACCAGACCAGGAGAAGATCAGTACTGAGACCAGGATTAGACGGGGACCAGACCGTGACCAGAACTGAGACTGGGACCAGACCGGGACTCCAACTGGGACTCAGACCGGGACAGAGATGGGGACCAGACTGGGACAAGATCAGGACTGAGACCAGGACTGAGACCTGGACCAGATTGAGGCAAGATCAGGACTGAGACCACGACTAGACTGGGACTGAGACCAGACCGGGCCCAGACTGGGACTGAGACCAGGACTAAGACCAGACCGGGCCGAGACTGGGACTAAGACCAGGACTGAGACTGGGATCAGACCGGGACAAGATCAGGACTGAGACCAGGACTAGACCGGGACCAGGCTGGGACTGAGACCGGGACCAGACCGGGACAAGATCAGGATTGAAACCAGGATTAGACCGGAAAATAGTTGTTTTTTCATTTTCTTATTTTTGTTTTATTTTGAAAAACAAACAAACGAATGATACACGGATTCAGAGCGAACAGAAAACAACAACAAGAGCCCGTTGTCTTTTTGAGGTTGCGTCTAACCCCCAGTGGTTATTTCACGCGCAGGTCACAAATTTGTCCTCACACACAGAGATAATTTGGCCGCTCGCAGTTAATATCTACACGTGTGAAATAATACAATACGCCAAATGCATGTTTTATCGTGCGTGTGTATTATGGAACTATTTTGACGCTGTAGTGTGGAGTTTAAAAACACAGTGGAGCACATCCTGTATTACGTGACATCACAACATGGAACAGAGTGTTGTGAATGTTTGAGAGAAGAACTAAGAACACTAAATATTCAAGGTTTGTGTGTTAAAACATGTGTGAAGGAAACAAAACCCATCTCCGGGTCTGTTTGTGATGAGGAAACAACATTATAACAGATCAGAAAATAGTAAAAATGGTGAAATACGGGTCCTTTAATGTGATCTTTTCTCACCTGTCAGTAAAGGTGATCCGTCGTGCCTCTTGTATGTCCAGGTCGTAGGCGTAGAAGAAGTCCCTGCGCTCGGAGCCGCAGATGTAGATCCCGGAGTGGGCGGGGCTGCTCCTGAACACCAGGAGGCTGAACAGGCGGATGGACACGCGCCCGCTCAGGTCTGCGCTGTGAGGGAGCGCCCCAGGATCCACCACCTTCAGCCCGTGGTCATCAGAGAGGACCTGAGTCTGCTCCGAGCTGAACGAGGGCTTTTTGTAGAACCACACCACCGACTGCACCTGACAATGAGGACAAATGTGGACAAAACACAGATAAGTTTGTGTGTATAATAATAGTTAATAAATAGACTAAAGTAAAAGCCTTATTTTTCTAATTACAACAGTTACTTTTTATTGTTTTCCAGTAATCTTCCACAGTGCAGCATTAAACCTATTCATCTATTGTGCATTTATTCAGTTAGAAGTGTTATGCTGAGTTCAGACCGCAGAGTTGAAATTGTGCCAAACGCTTTAACATTTGAAGGCAGATGCTTGAAACTCATTAACGCTCTGAATTGCACCAAAGGTTCAATTTTAAACTCTGCCGTCTGTCGCATGAATGATTGAAAAGTGCCCGAAATGTTGGACTAGACATATACTTTATTGATCCCAAAGGAAATTGAAACTTAGTCTAGACACGCATCACCCATAGACTTTGCATGTAAACCTAATGATCCGTGAAGTTGTTTATGTTATAAATTTGATGCTTTTGTTCTTAAGATGATTATCGGGAAGCAGAATAATGGTGAGTTCGATTATCCATCCGTCTCCCACTCAGATCTCGAATATGACATCAAGGTTTCACGTGTCCGACTTGGAGAAAAATGTGGACGGCACCTGGAAAGTTGTTATGGTTGTTGTTTATCTTCTCTTCTTTAGCAACATCCGCTTAAAACAAGTCTTTGTTCAATACTGGCCTCACCACAAGCCCAACTACCAGACCCACAGGCAGTGATATGGACGCAGTAAGGTAATGTAATAAGGTAATAAAGATATGAGTGACTGAAAGTGTTTAAACCACCAAAACATCCAAACACAATGAAAACAGTTAATACTTAAAAGTGACACTGGGCGCAGTTGTCTTGGATTCTGTCACGGAAACCTTGCTCGGTCTCCAAGTTCTTCTGAGTTCCACCTTCCGAGGAAAAAGGGCCGTGTGAGTGGGTGTCGCCAGTCAAAGTCCTCGAACCTCAGAGTCAGTTGGATAATCAAATGCACCATAAGTTTGGGGTGCCAGTTTTAATTTTGAAATCCAGTTGGTTTAAATCTAAAATTCCTCTCTTTGATCTGAATGGTCACTACCTAAACCCCTTGCCAGGCTGGCGCCACCTAGTGCCTCCGCTCAATTTAATTTCTCTTCAGCGGTCAGGTCAGGAATCAAAATACAATAAACGGTTCACACAAAACCCTGGAAGTGCAAGTTCAGGCACCAGCCAATCAACAAAGAGCCATATATTCTGTGTTGGCAATGATTCCTGAGATCGAGGATTTAAAGCTGGAACAAAGAGAATGTTTGGTGAATTTTATCAAGGGGAAAGACGTTATTGCCCTTCTTCCTACGGGATTTGGGAAAAGCTTAATATACCATTTAGCCCCGTAAATGACAAAAAGTACCCGCCGACCGTCGAGCAAACGAATGCGAGGTCAGAGAGTTTGTACAAAGTGAAACAAAGTAAAACCGGTTGATGAATCAGGCTACTAAACCCCAGCACCTACAGCCAATCATGAATCAGTGCTAGTGCAGCCTCTGCAGCTCAGAGAGGGAATTCTGGAGGTTCTCCCCACAATATTGTCCATCTGCGACAAACGATTTCTGATGGTGGGAAAAAGATGTGGCTCAAAATGGTAGCTGACAAGTCTCTCAATAAACTTTCTCTAAACTTATAACTGTTGTATGACCAAAGACACACTACAACTGACACTTTGGAGTCTTACTCTCCTAGTCTAGCTCTCCTCCCTTTGTAATGAATCTTTGTGACCAACAGTAAAGACCAGCGCTCTGCAGTAATAGCAGTGTTAACACTAAATTTAGTATTTAGCAACTTAAAAGAATGAGAACTTCGCACATCAGTTACTTGAGACGGGTGCGTTGGAGGAGGGGGAGCAGACCAAGAACAGAGTACAGAGTAAAAACCCCGCACACCGTCTTACTTGCAAAATGTGAGATTTATGAGGACCAGTGAGATTTATTAGAACCAACAGTGCAACGTTTCGCCCAGTTTTTGGGACTAGGCCTTTCATCAAGAACCGAAACGTTGCACTGGTCGTCCTAATAAATCCTAATAAATTTTGCAAGACGGTGTGTGGGATTTTTCTCTATCTGAAATCTCCATTGGTTTAACATTAGAGTAAGAGTAATCTTTAGTCCATGACAGCCCAGCCCTGTTAGCTCAAACTGTCCTGTGTAATGTTGGCTCTGTGAAAGCATAGCAGGTTAGAATACCTCTGGAGGTTTGCAGAGGCAGGGCAGCTCCACGGTGGCTCCTGAGACGTAGGCGGCGTTCATGAATGTGAGAAAAGCCGGACATGCAGTTTGGGCAAAGATGTCCTCTCTGTCCTCTGGTGCTTCGTAACTCCACACCACAAGAGGGATACAGAGCAAAAATAGTCCTGTGCTCCAGTGCATTTGTCTGAAGGATGCAAGAAATTTCAAAACATAACAAGTTTGATTTGAATCAGATTGGTTGCTGTGAGGATCGAGGGAAATGATTCTGCATTCTTGAGGAAAAATCCTGCACCCCAAATTCTGTACTTGACATCACCTGCTGTGTGAATACAAAAATCACCTGAATTTGTTAAGGGCCCATATTTTTAAGGGCCGTTCACACCAAAGCGTCAAAAAACGCCTTGACGCCTCTATTTGGACGCCTTTGCATTTGAGTTTAGACGCCCCCGACGCGCGTCTTTGACGCCGTGAACAAACGGGACAAAAATACTTGACGCGCGTCCGTTGCCCTGGAAACAAGAGCCCGGTCCCGGTCTTTTCCCGAAACAATATCAGACCAGACTGAGAGAGTGTTTTTATGACATAAAACATCAGCGGAGGAGATCGGGTCGACGACTGGGGCGTGTTTATATTTATACTCCGCTAATGACACTGGATCAGTCCCGGTCTAGTCCTGGTCGAATACCGGTCTAGTCCTGGTCTAATCCCGGTCTAGTCCCGGTCTAGTCCTTGTTTAGTCCCGGTCGAGTCCTGGTTTAGTCCTGGTCCGGTCCTGGTGTAGTCCTCGCGATCGGCTCGGTGATTGTGGCGTATATATTTAATCTCCGCTCATGTTGGTGGTTCTCGTTCTGGTTCTCGGGTCTTGCTTCCTGATAATAACGTCGCTGCGTCACTGGATACTCGTCCCTGATTGGTTGACGCGGCGCGTCTGACGCGAAAAGTTCAGCATTTTCAACTTGACGCTGACGCTTTGGTCGCGCGTCCACATAGACTTTACATAGAAAGTGGACGCTTTGACGCTTTGGTCTGAACGGGCCTGTATATATATATAATCCATATGATCATTGTGTTATAATGTTTGTTTGTCAAATATATCCATGAAGTTGTGCTTTGTTTTATTCACTCATGTTTAACGCTCAGACCCTGCATATTTAGGCAGAGTTCTCTTAAACTGAGGGCCTGTTTATGTTGTCCCCGTGTAGTAGGGGTATGTTGTGTTGTGCTTCTGAAAACAAAAGAACCACTTGAGTGATTTCTCACTGCTTCCTTCATGCACACTTTAATACAATGAAGAGAAGGAGCGCGAAATCACCCAAGTGGTGCGCGAAGGCATTACCAATCACCAGATCATCGAATCCCAGGCTAAGCAGTCGATCACAGATATCATGGATGGTACTGAAAAATAAACTAACATAAACGTTTTAATAAACTTTTAACTCTTTTTAAACTGTTTTTAAGGCTTATTTAAATTTATATTTATTAATATTTATTACAAACCTTTTTATTGTTTTTAACTTATTAACATGGGGCATATACTACTAATCTAACCTATCACATTTACATGAGAACAACAAAATATTTTATCAGAAGAGCCTTTCGTTTAGACGGTAATGGCATTTTTGGGGCTTAAAACTACAAAAATCTGAAACCACCTTCCAGAGTGGAAAAGCTGAATCCGCTCTGTTGTAGCGTTTTCGTCTACACTGCCCAAGACGCAAAACTCTGGTCAGATCAGCTCATGTCGCGTACATTTACGTCACATACATCACCACCTAGCGTCACCACCGAGCCGCCTGGCAAGCATACCCAATTCCACACACTTTTGCGTCACCGAATGCACTTGGGGTGTGCAAAAATATCAAAATATCGATATATCATATCGTTTAATGTGATGATACAGTATCGATATCATGGACTGCTGTATCGATAGACCACCAAGAGTATTTTTTGGTATATTTTAGTAAATTATTTTGTTAGAGCGCTACAGTTTTCTTGCTTGTTTAGAGGAAGAAAACCCGTTTATGTGACACATTTGACATTTTCACTGTTTTGATGAATAAAATGTTTGTGTTTCATATGAACTTTGCACAAGAAGTGGTTTAACAAAGACTTTTAGTATCACAGTCAAGATTTAGCCTTTATTTTGTATTGAAACGTATGGAATCAATTTGAAATATATCGTATCAAATCAAAAGTGCACTGTATCGGGATATGTATCGTATTGTGGCCTATGTATTGAGGTATGTTTCGTATCGGCAACTACTTAATGATACCCAGCCCTAGTATGCACGCAGACGTGGAATAAAAAGTGAAGACTCGATGCCACTTTTACGTCTTCTGTTCAGACCGTCATCATATAAAGTCAAAACACTTCGTTTTACCATATAGTATACATGTATACAGGGAGTGCTCCACTGTGTTTTTCAATTGCTTATGCACTCTCGCTAAAATCATTTGGATGATTTCAGCCCTGCTAAAGCTAAAGGTAACTGGTAACTTAAAAACTATTTTCAGCTTGATGAGATGTAGAAAAAACTAATAACAGAGGATTAATAATAAAGATTACTTAAACGTGCGAATAAAACAGAATACGACTCCAGGTATGTTTTTGATTAGGTTACAGCATTATAACATGGCTTGAAGCTTATGAAGACCGTTAAACATTTGAGCTCTTTGTCTGAACGTTACAACATTTATAGGTTTACTGTCAGTTGGCCCCGCTGTGAGGATAATTCATTTGCTCAAGAAGACTCCGAATCATAGAGCGAGAGTGAATGTTCTGACCTTTTCCACCCTTCCCCCTTCTGTGGACCTCCTCTCCACATGGATGTGCCCTGTCTCCAGTTTACAAGTGTTTCTCATATCTGACATAAAAACAGGAAACTCATCCAATATGAAGACGAGAACTGCATGACTGTGTTTAAAAAAAAACAACAAAAAAAAACCAAAAAAACTCACAAGCATGAAATCACTCTAATTAAAGGTCAGACCATTGAACGGGTCAATCCTACAAGCACCCTGAGACCCTCATTGACACGAAATTGATCTTTGATGAGAATAGTCAGGGGGTTTGTGAAAAGGGTCAACAGCGAGTACATCATTTGAGGAAATAATTTCACTTCTATCAAACCATAACAACTATATTTGATCATGCTTTTATGAAAACTATTTTATTTTTCTCTTTAGCATCATGGTCCGTAGAGGAGAATCTTCAGACCAAGTGTAGTGACCGAGACATGTGTACGTTTTTTCTTGAGAGATGCTAATTGTTTTGTAATGTGATATTGTGTGATTTTACTGTTTTGTATTGAAATGTATGGGATTGTGTTGGATGACAATGGGATTTCATACTAATACATAGTTTTTCATACTAAAGCAGTAAATGTTTTGCAATAAATATGAGTTTACATAAGTCTTAAAAACAGTTAAATAGAGTTAATAGTTTGCTAAAATGTTCATTCTATTTTATTTTTCTGTAATGTTGCTTTTATTTTGTTCAAGGAAACTAATCATATCCTTAAATCGACCACTAAGCCTTGGATGATTTGTTTTAGTGACTGATAATAGCCTTCACCCACCACTTTGGGGATTTCGATTTGTTTCTCCTCATTGCATTAAACTTCTGCATGAGAGAAACAACATACACTCACTCTTGTGGTTCTTTCTCCTTGTTTCCAGGTGAAGGATACCAAATGTTGTATGCATGTAGTATATGCATTGTTGGGACATTTATCTGTTGGGATGGCATGTTGAAGTGAAGCTGGGGAGATGTTTTGTTGCTTTGTTTGAGAGGTTGGACTTGCATTTTGTTCTGTTTTTTGATAAAGCATGTTACCTCCTGTCCCAAGACAAATTTCTCCCATGGGAGACAATAAAGGATTATCTTATCTTATCTTATTCTGCAATGTGGACTTGTGCTCCGCCATCTTGTACCCACACAAGCTAATGTTACAAAGCCACATGTAAAATACTGTTACATTTATATTCTATTGCATTAAACTTCAAACAAAACAAAATATAATAGACAGTTCGCAAAAACCCCAGAAGTGCAAGTTCGGGCACCAGCCAATCAGCGAAGAGACATACATTCTGTATTGTCAACGATTCCCAAGATCGAGGATTTAAAGCTGGAACAAAGAAAATGTTTGGTGAATTTCATCAAGGGGAAAGACGTTATTGCCCTTCTTCCTACGGGATTTGGGAAAAGCTTAATATACCAGTTTGCCCCATTAGCGGCGCATTACATACGTCATGACCAAATAGCAGCAATTAGTTAAATGATAAAAAGTACCCACCTACCGTCAGGTGAACGAAATCAAAGGCTGCAAGGTCAGACAGTTTGTGAAACGAAGTAAAACCGGCTGATGAATCAGGCTTTTAAACTTCTGCATGAGAGAAACAACATGCAATCACTCTCGTGGTTCTTTTTCCTTGTTTTCAGAAGTGCAACATTCCTCATTTCCAGGGGTACGCAGTGCTACAAAAACAGAATTCACTTTTCTGAACAAATTTTAAATTGCATTTTGTGCTTGTCATGATCACAAATTTTGAAGTGAGATATATTGTTAAAACATTTGTACCGCAGACATAATATCCTTAAAGCAGGATTATACTTCAAAAACTATCCTAAAGGTACACGACCATGCCACAAAAATGGAATATGATAAAAATATTTATTGACGATGGATTGATGTCAAAGCTGGTAGGAGACTCTGGATGGGGGCTCTGTCTCACGTGGTCAACCCAGATGATTCTGGGGAATTGAAGGAGAGGTTGAGCTGAGCTGGAGAGGAGCAGGGGGAGGTTGAGGCATGGTCCTGCTCCTGATTCTCAGTCCACATAGTTTTAAAAAAACATGCAATAAATAAATTCATCCCTGTACAGCTTCAATCGTATCGTAGAAACAGCTGAACAATAACAAAAAATTTCCCACTGGTACAAAGAAAAGTCCTCATGCTCAATAAATATTGACCCCCAAAAACAATTGAACGATAAGTCAGTGTAATAATTATCCACCTTATTCCAGAAGTTGCTGTAGTCTGTTTGGGTTGTATTATTTTGTATGAGGCTGCTGATCTTGACAGCAAATAAGTTCAATATGGATGATAAAGCCGTTTAAAGGGCCCATCTCATGCAAAATCAACTTTTCAGAGCTTTTTACCTTCTAAGATGTGTGGGCCTTGTATATGTCACTGAAGTGGTTTTAATACTGATTCGGCATTTTTTTAAACAAATTGCAGTTGCAATTGTATTTCTGCCACCCTCCCACGTGACAACGAACTAAAGCTGCTACAACGATGACGCGGCAGCTACACCTATGACACGTTTGAAGTAGCAGAAGGTACTTCGCACCCTCCCCTGCTCCACCACCTCCACCTCGCATCGGCTGACAATTCCCATATGAACACCTAAACAAAAGCGACAGCATAAGCTCATTGTTCTACACTGCAGTGTACACGATATAATAAGTTTATCTACTAGTGTTTATTAATACTTTACAAATCAGTTATGTTCAGCTGATGCCAGCGCGGTGCTTGCTCTTCATGCACCTAAAAGTCCTCGTCTGGTTCCGGGTCCAACAAATGCAGCTGAATGCTCTGTATTGCCATGATGAATAAAAGTTTATTCCTACAGCTATCAGACCGCTAAACGGGTTGTGTGGCTGCAGGGCTGTACACTTACGTCACAGGGTCCACGCCTGTCTCCCCCTCCCTCCCTGAGATGGGCGGAGGAAGGGCGGCTCACTCAGAGCTTACGTCACGTTTGGAGGGCGGAGCCTGTGCTTTCTCAAGACGGGTGGGGGGATGAGCAATAGTCGGCCTTTCATACTTCCTGGTCTGTGACGCCTCCAAGAAATCAGTAAGATTTCATAACTATTGTGTAATGGATGTTCCAAAATCCAAATTGTGCTTGTATATGTGCAGAAGATACAATGTGAAAAGAGTTATTTTGCATGAGATGGGTCCTTTAAGATGCAAAATATCACAACATGATAAGGTATTCCTGTTTGACCAGAAGTTCCAAAACAAAAAAGGGAGCTTCAGGAGCATTTAGAGACAAAAGTGAGCAGGGTAGAATAAGATGAATTGCAAAAGCCCTAATTGCAATTCATCTTTTTATAGTTTTATCGAGCTTTTCAAACATTTGACACTGTCTTATAGCAACAGCATTCACCTTATAGGAGGTCAGTTTACCTGTTCTGTATCCAACTGAACTCCTTGAAAAGAAAGCTACAAAAAGAAACCATGACCCTCTTCTATTATCTCTATGCAGTACTTTTTAATGGCATCTACAGGGCTCTTGTTTGTTGTCTTGTCTTTGGACAGTGGCCTCAAATGCCTCATCAGAGCGGGTTAGTCATCCTCACCTCCCCCTGAGAGCTCGGCAGGCTGCAGCCGGAGTAAATGAGCAGTGATAGGAGCCTGTATGGAGAGCCTGGTCTGTGTCATCATAGGCCTTAGAGCTAACCCGTAATTATGTACTGATGGTTCAAAAGTAAATGCAAACACGACAGAGCAAACTGCAGAACCAAAGGGACCCTCACTAGTTTTACATGCACGCCAGGAAAGCTGAAAACTGGTCTAGTCCAGTTTAAAAGGTTCGATATTATGCAAAACTGACACTTGTGGGCAGTGGTGTAGTGGGGATTTATTAAGTGGGGGTCATTGATATGATGAATCCCGCCGACCTGATCAGCAAAAATCAGTAATGATGTCTGATGTTTTTTTTTTTTTTTTACTGAAAATGATGCAGAATCATATTATTAACATTATCACCATTCATATTCACCTATAGAACATAAATCATAGGCTACAACACATGAACCAGGACTGAACCAGAAATAAACCAGAACTGAACCAGGCCTAAACCAAGTCTAAACCAGGACTAATCTTCGACTTGAAAGTGAGAGAACCCTGAGCCCATGGCGCAGGGTGTCTGCAAAGTGCGATCGTGCAATGGCTGCAATGTTTAGTCCCATGGGACGTGGAGCTCTGCACCGATCCTTTCTCCTGCGGTCACCCGACGGTCTATCCGAGCGCACCTCCGGACCTGTCCAGACACTCAGTCCTGGTTTAGTCCTGGTTTAGTCCTGATTCAGTCCTGTTTAATCCTGGTTCAGTCGTGGTTCAGTTCTGGTCCCTCATGTCTCAGGTCACTATAGGACAGTCCTGCAGATATCATGAGCCTATGCAATTTTTTTCACCATTGCCAATATGTCGTAGGTCAGTATATGACCAGTTGAGGTGTGGGACTTTGCCTCTGGCCTTGGAGACAGGACGCTTTCACTCAGTCCCAGAGGAGGTGCATACTTGTGCTCTGTGCAACTTAAAGGACATTGAAAATAAAATGCATTTTCTGTTTTACTGTCCTTTGTATCTTGACCTGCGCTGTCAGTTGTGTCTAATGTGTCTTATTGTTGGTTTGCTATGTCTGATGAGGAGAAACTGAAGTATCTGTTTAAATGTAATGTTTTTAAGTTGGCCCAGTTTGTGTTGAAAGCCTGGGACCTCCGTAAAAGGCAAGGCAAGTTTATTTGTATAGCACAATTCGTACACAAAGTAATTTCAAAGTGCTTTACAGAATAAGAAATACATTAAAATCATAATAAAAACAAATCAAAACATAAATAAACATGAAGATTAAAATAAAAAAAAAGAGACATAAATTGGAGAGAAGAGTGCGGAATGAAAACCTTTCAGTTATATGCACAGTTAAACAGAAATGTTTTGAGCCTGGATTTAAACAGCGTCACAGAAGAGTCTGTCTCACATGTTCAGGAAGACTGTTCCAGGTTTTAGCTGCATGAACCTGAAACGCTGACTCCCCTTGTTTAGTTCTGACTCTGGGCACCAGCAGGAGGCCGGTCCCTGAGGTCCTCAGAGTGTGAGATGGTTCATATGACACTAACATGTCACAGATGTACTTTGGTGCTCGGCCATGGAGAGACTTGTACACAAGCAGAGCTGCTTTAAAGTCTATTCTCTGAGGCACAGGAAGCCAGTGCAGAGACCTGAGCACAGGACTTATGTGCTCGTACTTCCTAGTTCGAGTAAGGACCCGAGCTGCAGCGTTCTGGATGTTCTGCAGCGTCTCACAGCTCGTTTTGAGAGACCAGTGAGCAGACCATTACAGTAGTCTAAAAAAGGACACTTTATGTTTGATGTGTGATCTGTCTGCTTATTGTTTTATGTGTCTTATAAGCCTATGCAGGCTAGGCACCAATTAAATGGTGCATGACACTAAATTAGTACAATAAACTATACTAAACTAAACTAAGCTAAGCCAAAAGCTCCAGTTTGACATTTAAGTTGTAGCTATTTTATATTTAATTTTTTTTTTTTATATCTCATGTTAGGGAGAAGTGGGTGGACGGCGTACCCCCATGCACCACGCCCACTACACCCCTGTTTCTGAGCTTTAAGGCTTGTTATAATACTGTTATCTTCTCAAAAACATACCCAGAGTTGTGTTTTGCTTCATTCACACACATTTGAGTAATCCTTTTTTATCTGTCTACATCTCCAAAGCTCAAAATGCTCCACCTTGTCATGTCATGAAGTAGTTTTCAACATAAGAGCTTCTTTTACCTTTTGTTCAGTCGAGTTGAGCAATTCCAGAGCTGAAATGATCTAAATGATTCTAGTGAAGGTGTATTTAGTTTAAAAATGCATTGGAGCACCTGTATTACCGCACAACATCACAAAGTGTTTTCTGTTTGAGAGAAGATCGAAATATGCAGGGTTTGTGTGTTAAACATGCGTGAATGAAACAAAACACAACTCCAGGTCTGTTTGTGTCAGTCTGATTTACACTGGGAGCAGACGAGGAGAGGCGTTCACCAGCATGGCATAAGAAACAGCCAGGAATATATCAGACCAAACAAATATCTGCCAAAAGTGTGGTTATATGCATGATAGTCATTTTTATTAGTAATTTTAGATGCTAAGTTTTAATGCTTGTGCTAGATTACTACAAGCAACTCACCGCCTTGTAGCTCTTTGTTCACATCCCTCTGATTCCTTGAAGTGCATGTAAACGTGAGTGACAAAAGTGAAGGACTGACGGTAACTCAAGAGAAATTGATCTAAATAGAAGGTTGGAAGATTGACTTTGACAAGACACCGCAGAATCTGATGTGTGAGAGACTGTTAGCCACCACCAAGAAAATTCTATAGAAAAGAAGTTAGTTTTTTTGAAAGCTTAAAAAGTATATGTATATGAAAGTATATGATGATACAAGCAGCTATGGAGAGAAAAAGAGAGCAGACAAGACAAGACAGTGGGACGGAGAATAATGAAGGGGGATGCCCGTGGAGAGGCAGGTCTGTGTCATCGGCCTTACAGCTGAAACAAACATCCAAAAATATGTCCTCTTCTGTCCACAGATATGTCCTCTACTGTCCACAAGCGTGTCCCCTGAAGAGTGATGTGATGTTTTAGAATGAGACGACTCTTTTGAACAGTTCCTCAAAGGGCCCATATTGCACTGTGTTCTGATCTCTGTTATGTTTTCTCAGTAGCAGCATGAGTGAGAGGTTTGTGCACAAAAAAATATGTATTTATTTTTAAATTAGCCTATTATTATTGTGGTGCAACATTTTATCTAGATTATGCATAACTGAACTGTTACACACTTCTGCTCCCAGTTTGAGACTTAAAAAAAAAAAAAAAATTTCTTTGGTCACATATCTGAATCACAGACTGATGTTACTTATATTATTATTAAATAATTCCAAATGGTCTTTCCGCTTCCTTTCAGAGCTTTTCCAATGGTTGTGCTGCCTCCACACATGCATTTTCCTATTAAAGCATTTGATTAATCACATTTCAGCATCACTTG